GCATATAGTGGAATCTGGATTAACATCTGAATTATTAATAGTATGTGTAGCACATTTAAATGGTCCCAACAAAGGCTGTCCTCCATGGTGTACTTTATGATGTCATCCTTGGGTACATTGCTTGTAGTAGTGTAGAGCAGATAGCACCTCTCAAGGAGATACCTTTCCAGGGCCTTGGTCATAGTGCCCTGTTCTGCCATGCTTTGCCCTCCAGGGCTAGGTACAGACAGTCAAAAAGCCTAAGGCTGATTCAATTACAGTGAGAGACTGCGGGACCTGAACCTATTCAGCCTCCACAAGAGAAGGCTGAGGGGGGACCTGGTGACCGTCTATAAACTCACTAAGGGAGACCAGAAGGGTTTGGGGGAGACGCTGTTTCCCCTAGCGCCCACTGGCATAACAAGGAGTAATGGGCACAAGTTGATGGAGAGGAGGTATAGATTGGACATCCGCAAAAACTACTTCACAGTTAGGGCGGCTAGGAGCTGGAACCAACTTCCAAGGGAAGTGGTGCTGGCCCCTACCCTGGGGGTCTTTAAGAAGAGGCTGGATGCCTACCTGGCTGGACTCATTTGAGTCCCATTTCTTGTTTTGGGGTTTTGTTGTTCTCCCGCCCTGGCGGCGGGTCGGGCTAGAAGATCTACTAGGTCCCTTCCGACCCTAAATCTATGAAACTATGAAACTATGAATTCAGTCTTTTCAGGTTAATCTAAGATGCCCAGAATCAATTGAAACAGAAGTGAACAGACATTAACCTTTGATTCAGAAAATGCAGCCACATGCCTGGGGTTCTAGAGCATGGCTCTCTGGCTATGTATTCACTTGGTCTTCCTGCTGCCCCTGATGTCTCTGGGATTTGGAATCTAGCATTACAGCAGCAGGACTCATCTTCTTGCTTCCAGGTGCTTCTGGGATTTGTAGTCCACAGTTGCAGAAAGCAGTAAGTTTGAGTGGGGGAAGCGGTGTTTAACCCCCATCTCTGGCTCCAAATCCCAGTTGGAGTTTACGTAAGGGGGAGGGAAGTCTCCCCCTGTAGATTGGGTTGTATCCTCAGCTGGACTTGCCCCCACAACAACCCTCTTGTCAGGCAGCCCTCACTGCTTCAGCTAGGGAGCTGAGGGGCTGAGCAAGCCCTGCTCTCTGGCACAGGCAGCACAGCCCAGCCCAGGGCTGGAAAGCATTCTGGGATGCTGGGGGACTGTGACTTGACTTAAACCAGGAAGGGGTCGGAGACAGAAGTTTCATGAACCAGTTTGACCCAAATCAGTTAAATCTGATACTAAATTCAACTAGGTTTATCTTAAACCAGTTTCAGTCATTTTGAAACTGGTTTATGTGCACTGAACTTCTATTCTCTTACAGTTTTAAGCCAGTTTCTGATCACTTAAACCAGTTTATGTGTAACTTCCATCTCTAGCCCAGCTGCTCAGTCAGCAACTGAAAGGTAAGGAAACAGTAGGTGTCTGTTCCAGGGTCTCCAGAGTGATAGTGCCACTGCTATAACTGATGAGCCTTTCTGAGGTGAGATTGATCACATCCTCAGTCACAGTGAGTAGAAGCTTGGGCAGCAAACAGCCAGTGGGCTGTCTCCTCTCCACTTGGCAGTCCTTACAAACCTGTAAAGACTCAGATTTGAAAAGCATGCTGAGATTGCATGCTGTAGGGATGTGCAAAGCAGGCCCTATTCGATTTGCATTTGGCCCAAACTAGGGACAGTGATTTGATTTGTTGATTCAGATCACTATCCCTGATTCGATTAGGCTGAATTTGAATCGGAAGATTCAATGTTGATTCAGAGAATCAGCAATTTGGAGATAGACACAGCTTTAAAAGTTTTTTCTACATACCTTGAGGTAGTAGGCACGGCACGTGATTGCTCCAATGCTGGGGCACATGGAGTGTTCCACAGGAGTGTGGGGGAGCCCTCCACATGCTTGGTGTTGAACCTGAAAGTGAATCAGAAGTACTTTGAGTCCACTTCTGGGTCTGCCAAGCAGCATGCAGGGGGGCATGGTCAGCTGTGAGGGGGACCCTGGATGCCCCACCCCCAGACCGAGGAGGCGCCAGTCACTGAGCCAGGCCACAGAAAGTGGGGGGGGAGTACACTCCCCAGTGGACCTGGAAGTGCTTCTGGTCCACTTCCAGGTCTGCTGCCGAGCACGCTAGGGAGCCTCCTGTGCTTCTGTGGGACACTCCATGTGCCCCAGCATCGCAGTGATCACAAGTCCCTAAAGGTATATAGAAAAAACATTTAAAGCTATGTCCAAAACTCCAAATCTTTCTAAATCAATTCGGAGGGTTCCAATTCGATTCAGAGAGATTAAAGGGTCCTCTGATTTGATTAGATTCAGAGATTCGGCCACTGAATCAGGCCAAATCTCTGCCAAATCAAATCAGGTACCGAAGCTTCCCACAGCCCTATTCTCCAGGTCCCCAGCTGCACAGCTCTGCCACAATATGGACTTGGGTCATTTTGAGGTATTTCATCTAAGAAGGCCCTGTACCATTGCATAATGCTGAAGCACTCCAAATGTGAAGTGCCTCATATTGGAGCAGGATTTGAACTGTTCCAACTCAGGATCTACTTGAATAGAAGTTTGGCTCTCCTATGGAGTGTAAGGCTTCATTCAGTTTTCCTGCCATTGTTCTCACCCAACCATAGGTCAGAAAACAACTTCTTCTCAATGTGTAAACCAAAAAGAAATTCCAAGCTGAACCATGCAAGGTATTTAGTTTTGGTGAGTTTCTTTTTGTCTCCATATCCAAAAGGAAAAAGGTTTGATTTAATAATAAATGCATTTTCCCTGAGAAAACCTCATTAAAATTCCAGCTCAAGGTGAAAGAAATCTTCCATTTACAAGCTGATACAGTGAAATTTCTGCCACATTAACCCTTCATTTTTACATTCTATATTCTAAATCTTTGCCTTGATCTGGACTCAGACATGAATATATTCCTATCTAACTACCACTTCCTGGCCTATTTATTATAATTCAAAAATATATAAGACTACATGCCCTGAAGAGGGTGATGAATACTTTTTGGAGGATAAAGGAGAAAAAAAAAATCAACCGACAATTTTCTTTTTCCAAAACTGGTTTAAAAAAACTAAGTCATAATCAGTTCCTTTGTGCAGAAGCTTTCTGACTTGCCTAAAAAGGGAATGAAAATTATTTCTATGCTTAACTGTAGAGCAATGCTCTAATACTTTTCTTAAATATCTGACAACTCATTTGCATATAAATATGACACACACAAGCAGAGTCTTTTTAAGGTCATGAATAATGTTGCCATCAGTGCAGTATTGACTCCAGTTCTCACAGAACATTTCCACATGATTTCATAATATACTTGTTGTACATATTGACAGATTTTGCATGCATTTAAAGAGCTTTGTATTAAGAGAAAAGAGCATGCAAAATCAGCAATTGTTGTGTTTCTGCTTTATTTGTTTCCCATCCCAAGTTCCTGTTTTGTATGTTGGTTGTTCAGCACTGGCTAGCACTAATGTACTCCACATATTAGTATGGGCTTGCTTAGTAATACATTGGAAGGTCATTGTCCTTTCTTATTTCTCATTCTAAGCTGAGAGCACTTAGTGAAAGCTGAGAAGCAGTAAGTTTGCCTATGAATAGAAAAGATCATTTTAATATATTTTGTCACTGGTGGTATCCAGCCATTAAAATGGAAAAGGCCCTGCCCTCAGATATCTACAGTCTCATTTGCAAAGATAACACAATGAGAAATTACAAAGGAATATCAGCACGGAAAGGGAGAAACAAAAGGAAAATAAACCGTTCTGTTGGTGAAGTATGATTACGCAGGTCCTAAAACTTACTTATTTCATCTGCTCCTGAATTGTAATAATAATTCATATCATGGAAATCATGGAAATTAATAACAATTTTGTAGTATTGCAGTCAGTTAAATTATTCTGAATAAATTAAGGAATAAAAAAAATTAATCGTCATAGTAGTTTCACAAGAAAATGCTTTGTTTTCAGTAATAAAGCTGAAGACAGTACCTAATGGAAAATATCTTGTTGGGTATATCTACCTTTTTTAGTTCTGTAACTATTTTAGGAATGGGATTATTGGACAATATCTAGTGTTTCAGAAAATAACTGGATTCCTAAACAACTATACTACAAAACTAGGCTCATCTTAGCTTCTGGAAAACTTTTTTTCAGTGTGTTGAAAACAAGGAGTTGACGTATGATTTAGAAGATTGTTTCATATGTTCAGTGATTATGATGCACACTGACAAGATCAGAAAAATAATCTCATATAGTTAGTTTTACAATATTTCCAGTTTAATAGCCCTGCTACTGTAGCCATTCTACTGATTCTGCAACAAAGAGTGAAGTAAACGCATACATTTTTTTTACCATAGTAGAGAAATTACATGAAAGACAATATTAATGAAAATCATAATTTCTTAATATTTGGGGATTTTTAAAAATTATTAAATGTTCTTTATTTTCCTTAAGGCATTTACAGTTAGTCAATTTTATTTGTGGGTAAAAGATTCCCTTGCCACCCAAAATATATTTTCCAGATCAGATGTATGTTACTCTTTTTAGACTGAGGGATCTGCAATGTTGTGTACATACTAGTGAGCTTTCTAATTTTACCTAGACATGTTCACCAGTTTAGTAAACTTTATTTTCTTTATACAAAAGCAAACACATGCTGAGTTAGAAAATCTTGCATTGAAAACTGCTATGGGTAAAGATCTAATAATAATAACAATGAGGAGCAATTCCACTCAAATCCATAAAGTTAACATGTAAACTGGGATAATGAAAAACAGAATCTGAGCCATGATATTTAATAGCTTCTAGGGACTTTAACATTAATAATAAATGGATGCTAATAAAACAAATTATGCTGGAAAGTTATTTTTCTAACTAATTTATAGGCATTAATTATTCCACCATGCAACAATCCTTTACTTGTGACTTGCAAAAATTATATTGCTACTTCTTGGATTGTTTCCAGGTGACTTGAGGCCTGTTTCTATGCCTACAGAGTACAGCTGGATAGGGGAGTCAAAAGAACAAAATGTGTACAAGAGAGGAAGCCGAGGTGAGTGCTTTCTTATGTCCTGTTCCTCAAGATTTTCTCTCTGTGTTATTTAAGAACATGAAAAAGAGCATCACAGAAACCTATTCTGGTATTAATAAGCATGGAGAAGCATATAGAATCACAGAAAAATCAAACTAGAGAGAACTCCAGGAGGTCATCTTGTCTAGCATTCCCTGAGTGTTCAAACTTCACGTTTCACTGAAAGTTTGGATTTCCAAAAAAGTATGATAAAACTCTGGGAAGAAGGGTTGTGATAGGAAAAGTGCAAAAAGGTAAAACAAATTGCTTCTGTCTAAATCATAGGTATACATTCACCTTTGGTAGGGAGTGGAGGAAATGTACTAACTGTACCTCGCCTCTCAAGGCTGTTGATATTGCATGAAAAATGAAATAGTGATCTCTCAAAGATATACATGGAAGCCTGCTTGGCTGAGGCCTCTGCTGCAACTATTGGAAAACCTTTAGAAGTCTCCTCTTTATAATTCCATTATATCAAAACTATCATTAATGTGTCATTTATTGTTGTCAACCTTTTATATTAAAACCATTTTCAAAGTTAAAATAAAATAAATTGCACTTAATTTTATTAAAAATTGGAATGGTCTGCTCCAAAAATGTCAAAACAGGAAATTGATACCTTATCCAATTGATTTATTTTGTCTTTTCCAAATAAAATCTTGAAAAAAATAATGCATTAAAATATTTAAATTTTAAAAAACAGTTCAGTAAACATTTTCTGACTAGCTGTAGTTTAGACACTCATATTGATACAAAAGACAACTTGAATTGAGTAGACAGGCTGTCTAGAATAAAAAGATACTATTTAAAATCTGTTTTTAGCTCATTTTGTCAATTCTTCCTTTTCCAGGATTCTCTATTTTTGCTTCCCTTTCTGGTGTTTGCAAAGTCTCACAATTTAATAATGTGGGGAATAGTTGTTGTTTATACATTGCTATGGCATCTAACTGGCAAACAAAAGAAAGGGTCTTTTCTCTGAAGAACGTACAATTTAGCTGTATCTCATAAAGAGGTGCCTGTGCATGGATATGTGAAACTGGATGCTGCAGGTGTTTCACATCTTATGAAAATCAGACTTGTTATTTAGGTTTCTTTATATAGATTTTATTGCCTAAATTTAAGCATTCAACTTTGAAAATATTTTCTCCCAGTATGCAATAGCCAGTCATTATCCTTGTCCTCAGATTAGCTAAAGCAATTCCTTTTCAGTACAACATGAAATACATTATTTTTTCACATACAATTCACACACACAAATTGGGATATCTTATGCAAGGAAACTGATTCTTCTGCTCCAAAACCACCTGCCCAGCAAGAACAGTGGCAGTTCTATTCAGGCAGGTGAGGGAGTCACTTGTTGACTTAATAGCTTATTGTTCTTCACTCACCGCTGTTAACAATAGTCTTGTTAATAGTCTTCCCTTTTTAATAGTCTTGATGGTCCACTAATCAATCAAACTTATTTTTTGGCAATTTTGCTGTCCGCTAGCTCATCCTTGTCTGTATACTTGTATTTAATAGCCTTGCAAACTTTTTAGCCCTTTTTCAAAATTGTAGATCCACCCATGGAGCAGCAACTAGGATCTTAGCTCTTGGTTAAGCTCCCATGTTTTAGCACCAGCAACTCAGGAAGTTAGGGCCCTTGTCCAGGAATCAAGAGCCCCAGCTTCTAGTGCCCCCCTTAGCCCCCTCTCCCCTCCAATGGGGTTTGAATCTGAATCCCTCCAACATCTGTTCAGGGTGTTCTAACCACCATAATAATTAGTCATCACTGTGGGTCAAAATGCAATGACCCATGCCTTTACAAAACAGTATACCTTGATGAGAACATTTGCTTTGAAATTTTTGAGTTCTGAAACAAAGCAAATATATTCTCATGGAACAATATTCAAGAAAATGTTAAGTATTTGGTTATTTTAATTAAATTAAAATGTAGTTGTGAATTAACCTTTTTCATATTGTTACATAATAGAATAAATTATAAAAGGAAACAAAAAATAATATCAAATGGTAAATCATTTTGAAAAGACAAAAACTAAACGTTTCAAACTTATCAAAAAAAAAAATTTAGTTTATACCAAACATGCTGAAATCAACATGTTTTAAAAAAATATTTAGCTTTTAATAAACAAACATTTTTCAACAGCAAAATGATCCTTTGGAAAATTTAAGATAAACTCTTTAAAAATTTTCCCCATCCATTTGCAGGTTGAGATCTTCATGATCACTATGTTAGAATCTTTCTTGGGTAGTATTTTTGATCTGTCTGACATACAAACCTTCAAAAGAGTCATCAGAATTCCTCACTTTTAAAGGATGGAAAATTTGCTTTTCTTTGAATATCTTTTTTTTTTCTTTAGGGAAATAGTATCCTTTAACTCAAAAAATATTTCCATAGGCAAAACATAAAAAATAAATAAACAAACTCATGAGTGTTCCAGAGTAATATAGGCAATAAAAAAATGTTAAAGACTCATAGAATAATAGAGAAGCACAGTTCAAAGGGACCTCCAGAGGTCATCTAATCCAACAGTTCTCATCTAGGGGGTCTGTGGCCCCCTGGGGGCCTGCAAGCAGGTTTCAGGGGCTCTGCAAAGGCTGCAGATCTAGTGCAATCATGAACAAAGGCAGCCCACGCCTGGACTAAGCCCACCAACACCGCTGCCAGGTTTATGAAAAAATGTGGGTTTTCTCCTTTAAAGGAGAAAAACACAGGAAACCATGGTTTTCCTTTTATAGGCTGGAAACATTCCAGCCTACAAGGGGCTGCTTGGAGCTGGTGGGGAGTAGGAGGAGGCTGATACAGCACGGGTGACCACTTGCATGTGTGTGTGTGCACACATGCATGTGACAACCTGGCAGTGGTGGAAAGCAGCTTCTGCAGCTCCCTGCAGGTAAGTTGGGTGGGCATAGGCAATGCATCAGGGGGTGGCGAGACACATACTCCCCTCTCCAATTTCTGCATCCACAGTGGGCACAAAGCTGTAGCTTGGCTGGACCAGCCAGTGGGACCCAGCATGGGAGTGTGGAGCGGGGTGACAAGACTCATTGCCATTGCTGCCACTGGGACCCTCATGCCAGCTGTGCCACTAGCAGCAGGAATAATGGTGCTTCCCTCACCTCCTCCTGCCACCAGAGGGGAGATAGGATGAGGGGCAGCACAGGGGTCTGAGAGGTGGCCTGTGGCACTGGCTGGGTCAGGAGTGAGGCACTGGCTGGGTTAGGTAGGGCCATAGGGCTGGAGGTAGGGAGTGAGGGGCACCAGCAGGGCTGAAGGAGTAGGGGGTTGTAGGCGGGAATGTGGGGCACCAACAACATCATGTGGGGCCATAGGGCTGTGGATCAGAAGTGAGGGGCACCAGCAAGGCCAGGGGGCTTCAGGTCAAAATTGAGGGAGACCTTGAGTCCAAAATGGTTGAGAACCACTGATCTAGTCCAACCTCCTGCCTGAGGGACGATTGTCCCTCTACATAAAACTACCATCAACCCTGGCACAACACAGACCTAACACCCTAAACTTCCACAGGTAAAGCAGGGAAACCATGGGGGACCACAAAAGCATTTCACAGATGCAGTGTTCTGCTTCTATGAAATATCAATATATGCTCAAGAGATCCCAGGTAGAGGGCCACACCCCCCCTGTGGAGGAAGGCAAAACCCCTCACAATTTGTATGAATCTGACCATAGGGTAAAATGAATTCCTTACTCCAAATATGGTGATCAGTCTGACCTTGAGCAGAGGGGTGAGACCCTCTAACCAAGAGACTCCAGTTCTGATCCCAGCAGGAGTATTGATATACCCCAGTTAAAATCCCCAGGCTCTACCCAACACCCAATGCCTCTGAGAGAGGCTTAAAAACACCCTGATGCTTGTAGCAGAAAGGGGGCAGAGGCAACCAGCAGAGCCTAGAAGCATAGAGACATACCCATTATGAAACACAGTCTATGTCTAGACCATCCTTGACCAGTGCCTGTCCAACTTTTTGAACACTTCAGTGAAGGAGAGTCCTCAACTTTCCTAGGCAGTCTATTCCACTGCGTCACTATTCTAACAATGAAGAAGTTTTTCCTGATATCCAATCTAAACTTTGCTGCAACTTCAGATCTTACGTCTACATCCTCCTCTATGCAGCAAGAGAGAAAAGTGCCTTTCCTCTTCTTTATGGCAGCCCTTCAGCTATTTGAAGATTGCTATCATGTCCCGACTTCAGCACCTTTCTGAAGCTAAACACACCTAGCTCAACCAGTAGGAGATTAAGTTTGTCTGACATGATTTGTTTTTCATAAATCCATGCTGGCTGCTTGTCATCAGCCTTTTCTCCTCCAGATGCTTGCAAATGGCCTTCCTTAGGATATGTTCCAGTAAATTTCCAGGTATTGAGGTGAGGCTAACTGGTCTGTAGTTCCCTGGATCCTTGTGTTTGCCTTTTTTAAAGACAGGCATTATGTTAGACTTTTCCAGTCCTCTGATGCCTAGGCCATGCCCCATGATTTCATGGAGATCATTCCCAAGGGCTCCAAGATCTCTACCAGTTCCTTCTGTATCCTAGATGGAGTTCATTCGGCCTGGCTGACATGAATACATTCAGACCTATCAAAAGCTGTCTGACAGAGTCTCTTTTGTTATCTCATCCCTCAGCTTGCCCCCTTCCGTATCCGGATAATCCATATTACGTGACTGGCTACCTCGTTTTGTGTGTGTG